TTACCCCAAAAAATGAAAGTGAATACATTTTAGATTCTACTAATGGATAATAAGGTTAGATATTTGGACCATCTTTTCTAATAAAAATATTTCATTCATCTCTGTTGAAACACCGAAAAAAACTCATACTTAAAATTAGTCTAAAATCAATAAAAACGGCCAACGTTACATTCCAAAAAATTTTTTTCAATATGATAGATGAATTTGAAACTAAAAATGATGTCACATATGAATCTAGTCTCATTGGATTATGTATTATTGAAAACAGTATCCAGTTGTAACCCCGAGTCCTTATAAAAAAAATTAATTTTTTAATTTAACGCGTCGCTCCTGCTCCCCTTTTCAATTTCAGAACCAAAGAGCTTTTGAACTTTCAAAAAAATTTTGAAAAAACTGACTTTGATGTGATTCTACATAGGATCAAGTGTCCTGTTCAACATGGAAGTCAACTCGATCCTCAAAAATGTTTCTATGGCCAGTTGTAGATTTTTTAAGCTTTTGAACTCATGAAATTTTTCCTAAATTTTTTACTTTCAAAATTGTTTTCAACTCTTTAGGAAAAAAATAAAATTCTTAAATAATAGAATCAGATAGCTTAAAAATGAGACATGTTCCAGCTCATCGATGGTCTTTGTAGGTTTCCAGAAAACTTTTCTGAAAACCCTGAAATGCTGACTTGTCGAAAACATTTTACTCTCCGATAAGAAAGCGAATCCAAAAATTCTTTCAGTAGCGCCAGGAAATAGAGCAAACATTGGGGATCAAATGTGATATCTCCCAGCTCTGAATGATGTTCTAATCAAGAACCCCTAAAACTTGCATCAGATACGGGCGCCACCATATGTCGAAAGCGACTGTCATCATAACACCATTTCGTAGCTGCAAGATTTCTCGGTAACAAAACATCGCTGAGAGCTCGCGAAGGTCTTAAATTGAAGCTGACACATATGCCTAGAGGCTAATAGAACCCGATTTTAGAAAAAATATCCTTATGGAAGTTAATGGGATTCAGTACCACTAAAGGACAACGATTTTAATCCTTTAAGTCCCCAAGGCTTCAATGCTTGGTTTTTAAGTCAACCTCTTATAAAAATGAAACATATGAGACCTCGATATGACCTTCTCACACTCAGAAAACCTTACTTTTCATTTCTAAAAAAGTTAAGTTTTATTTAAATTTACAATGAAAATTTGAAGAAAATTATTTTGTCGAAAATTCTCGTTAGAAACAAAAGACAAAAGGTATCTCAGTTTAGACCATCATGTTTGAGCAAATTGAGACAGAAAATGAGCTGAGATGGTGAAGAAAAGCAAAAATGATCAAGAAACGGAGCCCAAAATCCCAGCAAAATATGATCCTTAGTTTTGTACCATCATCAACCTACAATTTCCGACAATAATTTATTCAGCTGACATAGTTTGAAAGAGCACACCTTCCTACATGTTTCTGAAAAGTCATTGAATTAAAGACCTGAAAAAAGTAAATTAAAAAAATTAAATTTTTACGAAATCTTCTTTATTTTAAAATTTGAATATCTCAGCTAGCATACGGCACAAATTAAATTTTCTTTTATCATTCGATAGCCAGTTTCATTCTCTACAACCATTATCACCATAAGATGGGGTACCGGGGAGGATGATTTTGGGAATTCCTTGCGATAATATCTACGGATATACATTCTCTGAAAGTCCAAGCGTGAATGTTTTCGGCAATGCAATCGGGCCCTGCTCGAATTCGATCCAAACACGCATGGTTAGATGCAGAATAAACAGGAGAACATTTCTAGCCACTCGACAGACCCTGTAGTTCCTCTAAGAAAAACTAGGTCGAATTTACTGCAGACGGCATAGTTTTCCAAGGGTGAGGGGGTGAGGGTGAGGGCCACTTTTCTGTCAAACGTTATTCAAGAAACATCCGAGTCCATTCTTTTATTTTACCGACAATAATTTGATTAGCTCTGTTCTGATTAGGCACATTTTTCCTAATAAGAACGCGAAGCAAAGACTAAGGAAAAACTTTGAGAATTCGAAAATGGCTTGATGCTAGTGTTAACCAAAATTAAAATTTTGATTTGCTAAACGAAAATACTAAGGAGTCGAAAATTCTTGTGCACGTTAATGAGATTATATTGACTTTCATCCGATTGAATATTAAAATAAACGAGCGATAGTCTGCACATGACTAAACAGCATTAATGCCATATGTCAACGACCGCATATAAGCGCATATCAGAAGTGATTCTAATGCAGATCAGGTATATGATGAAATGCGACGAGTTGTACAGCATAAACAAACCGCTTCTCATCGTTGAATTGAGACCCCAACTTTAAGTACTAAGTTACGCCTATTGAGACCCCCCATGCACCGTACTTCATGCCAATGTAATACCGTATAAAGGCGCGTAAATTAATGATTTTGAAGTGATGATCACGGGGCGATTATTTGATGAAATCGGGCCCTGCCCCAAATCCATCCAAAAACACATGGTTAGCCGCAGAATAAACAGGAGAACATTTCCAGCCACTCGACAGACCTTGGAGGTGCTGTAAGAAAAAACTAGGTCGAATTTACTCTAACCAAGGGTCTGCTCTTCTATCTTCAACGGAGACGATCCTGTGCACCACACTTGACCGCTATCTACGACGATACATATACCAGTCGGTAGAGAAGTTCTCGCGCTACAATTTCATATATATACAGCAGTGAAAAAAGTGTCGAGTGGTATAGGTATGGTCGTGGTTAGTGGTCACGTGTGGAGCACAGGATCGTCACCGTTGAAGAAAGAAGAGCAGAACTTTGGTTACAGTAAATTCGACCTAGTATTTTCTTAGAGCAACTACAGGGTCTGTCGAGTGGCTAGAAATGTTCTCCTATTTATTCTGCATCTAACCATGCGTGTTTGGATCGAATTCGAGCAGGGACCGATTGCATTGCCGAAAACATTCACGCTTGGACTTTCAGAGAATGTATATCCGTAGATATTATCGCTAGGATCAGTTCGTTATTAGAGCCAATCCAATATTCTGTGAATGAGGCGGAATGGCTAAGCCCCAATCCTCCGTGCGTCAAACAGAACCGAACTGATCATCGCTACATCCTGACAGTCACTAACGGCAAAGCGATCTTACACCGAGGATACTCATAATTATTATTACGTCAACCTTTCATGCATTTCTCACTTCTGTGCAGTTTTATTTTGAGATCTTTACACAGCAAACATTAACTGAGTCTCTACACTGAGAAAACCCCTATATTTGCTGCATTCATGACAAAGAAGACCCATTTTTGATACCCAAAATGAATGAAGAAAAATTGTACTTACTCTGCAATTATTTTGTCTGGTTATTTTACTGATTTAGTTCTACTATAAAAAGGTTCCAAAAGCAGATATAAACTGCAAAAAAGTTCGAGTATAAAAGTAGTTTACTTTAAGAAATACAGTGCCTTATATAATAGACACTGATTTTTGTCTCGTTTAAAATGAGAAAAAGAAAATATATATACGTTTATAAAGGAAGCATGTTTCTTCGTTGGAAAAAAAATGTTAGAAAGGATAGATTGCTCCACGTGTTTATACACGTGATATAAATGTATATATATATATACACTCTCGCCACGTATATCATTGATGATACCAACGTTCTTTTCTCATTTTAAACGAGACTAAAAACAGTGTCTGTTATATCAGGCACTTCACTAAACTAGTGAAAATGATACCTATTTAGATAAGGGAACAGAGAGCTGAATTTACTGTGTACGTACTTCGAATTTACTACCTTACTTTCTAATTCATACTGATTTTTCCTTTTCAGATAGAGATTATAAAATAGACAAAAGCATTGTCTGTTCGGCGAACGCATTAAAATTTGATTGCACTATATTCTTGAAGAAAAGTCCGAGTAAAACATAGTGGAATCAATCGTAGATAACGAAACGGTGACTGGAAAAATGTGGTGCGTAAAAACTAGTGCGTACCGGTGCAAGACCAGACAATATTGCACCATATTCGGCCATGCTTATACATTCTGAAAATGTAGTTAACCGCTACGGTAACTATCGTAAGAAATATTGGGTTGCGCCTCACTCTCATCAACCACCGCCCCCCCCTACACATACTGCAGTATATGTATATATATATGAGTGATTCTGATAAAAATAGTAACGTTTTTGTGAAAAAACTTGACTGAAACAAAAGGTAAACACCTAGGTTTTTTCTTATCATCTATCGATAGTGTGTACCTAGGGGTATCACAAAACACGGGTTAGCAAACTACCACTACTTTGTTTTCCAGATTTGAAAAACATTTTTCTATTATCGGCGTCAAAACACCGTGCACTTGGTTGTGTTTTGAATATCTTTTGATAGAAAAGAGCTAGCGAGGTCCGATTTTCACCAGTGGAAAGAGGAAACTTGGGGACATATTCCCATACCAGTTTTCTGAAACAGGTTTTCTAAGAGATTTTTGGAAAACTATGCGGTCTGCAGTAAATTCGACCTAGTTTTTTCTTAGAGGAACTACAGGGTCTGTCGAGTGGCTAGAAATGTTCTCCTGTTTATTCTGCATCTAACCATGTGTGTGAATCGAATTCGAGCAGGGGCCGATTGCATCAAATAATCGCCCCCCGTCCTTTCCTCAATTGTAGATATGATACTGTTTATTATATCCTGAAAGTTTCATAGTGGTCGATCGACGTCTAATAGATGGAAATAAGAAAATCAGATTTTTTGTTGACATGGCCTGCCCATGAGTTGTTTTCTCTCACTTAGTGCTGTGTGCAATCTCTGTTCCATAAGATGGGGTATCGGGGGAGGATGATTTTGGGAATTCCTTCCTTCGTCCACCCAAGACTTGAGCAGAACTTTTCACAAGCGGAAACAACTTTTGAAAAATTTCCAGAGATCGGGTTTTCAGAGGATCTTTGGAAAACCAGCTCCGTTCTCAGAAAACTAGCAATTTTTTTGTATGTGTAGATAGTCCGGACGTTACTCTACAAAATTATGCAAGTTCCGGTTCTCTAGCTATCGTCGTTCGGGCAGGGCTCGCTTCCCTGAGCACGTGTCTATCTCCGAGCAGACATATCTGGGAATCTCAAAATGCCATAGACTATAGGTAATCGACTACGTTGAGCATAGTGGCAACATTTGTTTTTGTGTAGAAATAAATATAACTTCGCCAGAGGCATTGTTGTGAAAACCTGTTTTTGAGTTATGCATTTTTCTATGAATGAATTTGAAGAAGAATCTTGTATCTCAAAAATTAGTTTCGATCGTACTTTTTTCTTCTTATTCTTTTCTCATACAGTACATATACGTGTCACGTGTATGTACACGTGAGCTATTTCTTTTATCAATTTCTACAATTTTTGTCAATTTTATCAATATTATTCCTTAAAACAACGACAAGGTCATTTCGTGATCCTAAAGAAGATCAAGTTGAGCATAGAAACATGGAGGCGCTTGTAGAGCAATATCGACAAAAAGTTGCAAGATCAAGATCTGATGACGAAGATATGGATACTCCTATGAATGATGATCAATCTACTTGACCTAAAACACCCAAAACTGCACGTTATAGTGGTCCTCATCAAGAAAAAATTTATATAAATAGAAACCTAAAAAGACAGTTCAATGAACAAGAATATATTAATCCTGGTCAATATTCTGAACAGATTTTTATTTCTGATCAAGCCATAGCACATTCTATCGATACTCGTCTATCTATGATTAGAATACAGTGTAATCCTGCTCTCCGATCAAAGGAAACTGATGTTCAGTTTATAAAGGATTTTATGAAATATATTGAATTGAATTTTCGTAATGAAAGTCCAGGACATAAAGATCCAATTGGATTAGATCAGTGGTGGCTACAAGGTGCTGGAAATTTCTTTTGTGGTGTTACTGACGATATTGATTTTTATATGTATTTATGGGATGATAGCCATTATCCATTTTCTATTGGTAATGTGCAGATTAAGCCGGAACCACCAAAACACTTACCTGCACAGAATTCTGTTGTAATCAAGTTCGTTCCTACTACTATCTCAAAAGATGATGTGTTTGATGAGATGAAATCACGTTTTTCTTCTATATTTATGATTAATAAAATGAAAGGAACTACTAGGTCAAGTGCTCGGCATATTCGTGTTATCTTGAAGCAACAAAATGAATATAAGAAAATTCTCTATGACGGAAGAATTGTAATTCAAGGACTTGTACTTGACGTCGACGAATATTACCTCCACCAAAGATTCTTATTTGTATGAAATGTAATTTACCTGGTCATATTAAGAAAGTCTGTCAAGCTCCTTATTCTATATGTCGACGATGTGGTCAAGATTAAGATAACGGAGATAATCATACTGAATGTGTGATTCAGTGTCATCATTGTGGTGGTAATCATATATCGACAGATTACAAATGTCCTACAATAGTTAATTTTCGGAAAAATCTTTTAGATAAATTAAAAAATAATGCTGACAAATTACCAGTACATGTACGTATGTTTATTGCAATTGACTGTCGAAAGCCCAATGATCATGATCTAATTCTAACTTTCACTCGTTCCGAATATTCTGCTTCTCCTATTACCACCACAGGCAACTCTTCACATCCTCCAACTATGAATCATTGGACTAGTCGACAAGAAGCGTCAAAGGAATATTTGGATTCGGCAATTAGAGCATTTGACAATGAATTGAATAAGATAAAGAAAGATTTTGACGAAGAAAAAAAACGAATCAACAGGTTATATGAAAAACAAATTGATACAGTTAAAAAAGGATGGCTTATTCTACAACAGCAAGTCCGGGCACAAAATGAATGCTTAGCATCTATGCAACAAGTTATTAGTACTACAATTGATTGTACGGTCAATTTATCAACAACTAATAATATATTATGTGAATTTGTCAAGACTGTTTGTTGAGATGAACAAAAAGAATATATTGAAAGTATGAAAAATTCAAATGAAGCTACAACGACACATCTAAAGCAATGAAAGACTCTTTTCAACTAGAAATAATTCAATATTCCACTATTATGCATAAACAAATAGAATTATATCAATCGACTATGGAATCCATCTTCTCTTCACAGAATGGATAGTCCTGATTTTAAGTATGTCTCGTCTTGTGTTTCTCTTTTTGCAGTTGATAAGTTTGACGGAAGTTTTGAAGACAAATTGTTTATTTTAAATGAATGGAATAGAAAAACTTCTATTTCTAATTTATGTGAATCGTGGAAAAAGATTAGGCCAAAGAATGAAGTGGAGAATCTTCTTGTTCTGTTATATAATTGTGAATGTCTGAGTACGCATCTGTCAGATCTTGATATTTTACTTTCTTCTCATCTCCCTCATGTTCTTATTCTAACGGGCATAGGATCTTTGATTCGTAAAATGCCTTCTGTGCTGAACTATTATTGGCATGCGCAAATAGAAACGAACTCTTTTGGTGGAGTAGCAATATTGCTACATTCTTCTCTAAAGTCTAAAGTCATAGAGTTGAGAACTTTCTCCTGATTGAGGTCGAAGTCGCACTTTCTCCCATCCTTATTGGTGCAGTATACGTACCACCTAAGTCAATGCCCCCTTTTTCTGAATTCGAAAAGTTTTTGACAAGGAAATTTTTTATTTTTGGTGATTTCAATGTGAAACATAGTGACTGGAAGTGCTCCACTAATAATACTAGCCGTTTAGCACTGAAAGATTGGATGAAAATAAATGGTTGTGAAGGAATTTTTTCCTCCACTCCCACATCTAAAAAATTTGATTCTATTATTGATTTTGCTGTAGCGAATGATAGTTCTGGATGAGAATGTGAAACCTTACACGAAGGCACCTCCCATCATTTTCCTGTTTTATACTCATCTTCTATAGCTATATCTGCTAAAGGTGTTTTTCGTAAAACAAATTGGAAAATTTTTACTTTTATTCTTTCTTGTTTATATATGTATTGGAATTCATGTTTCGACGAGCAAGTCTTCTCTCTTTTCTCCTCTTTTTATTGCTTCTTTGTGTGACAGAACGAGCGAATATGTTCCTGTAAACCAGCACCGGCCACCTATTCTTGTTTCTCTTGCTCGTTCTGTGAATAGAGAGAGAAGAAAATACAGAAGAACTCGTTTCTTGGTTCATCTTAAAGAATTTTTAGCTATTAGAAAGATATTTTACACTGATAGGACAAAATACGAACAGAAAAGACGTGAAAAACATCTTCAGTCTCTTTCACAAGGACAAAGTATATGGCGCCTTGTACGTCCTGCATTTCATTCCTATTCTCCGTCTTTTCGGGGATTGACAGTGAATGCGAATATTGAGAAAGATTCAGTAAAAATAAGTAATCAGTTAGGAAATTTTTTGATCAACATTTTGCTCTTCCAGTACACGATTCTTTGAATGATGTTCATAGAGAGCACATTCGTGTATATGAACAGATCTCTTATTTACCTAACATTCCTCTCCTCTTGACTCAATTTCTATATCACAAGTAATTAAAAATTGGAAAAAATTTTCACCTAAGAAATCTTTAGACAATCTTGGAACGTCTGCTTTTCTCCTGAAAAATCTTCCAAGTGAATATATGAATCTTATTACTGTTCTGTTCAATAAATGTGCTACTATCCGTCCCAAAATACAGTGCCGGTGGGTATTTTTTGAATAACTTTTGATAGAAATGAGATAAAGACCTGCGATTTCCGCTCTTCAATAGCCAAGACTTGAGCGGAACTTTTCACAAGCGGAAACAACTTTTGAAAAATTTCCAGAGATCGGGTTTTCAGAGGATCTTTGGAAAACCAGCTCCGTTCTCAGAAAACTAGCAATTTTTTTGTATGTGTAGATAGTCCGGACGTTACTCTACAAAATTATGCAAGTTCCGGTTCTCTAGCTATCGTCGTTCGGGCAGGGCTCGCTTCCCTGAGCACGTGTCTATCTCCGAGCAGACATCTCTGGGAATCTCAAAATGCCATGGACTATAGGTAATCGACTACGTTGAGCATAGTGGCAACATTTGTTTTTGTGTAGAAATAAATATAACTTCGCCAGAGGCATTGTTGTGAAAACCTGTTTTTAAGGAGAGAGCACTCCTTCACTATTTGTATGACTATTGGATGAGATTTAAGGACCATCTTAATATCTCTCCTGAAGCATCTGCATATAGAGAAACTTGGGAGGCTTATCTTATTGCTACATCACCGGATAGAGTCCGTTCCTATTATAGGTCGATGGAATTTCGTAAGAATAGTGTGTTTCCCAATCGTTTGGCACAGCAAGCTCATCAAACGAATCTTGATCTTTTTTCTTTCTTTTGTGATCATGAACCGCAAAAAGATATATTTCGTTCCTCTTCTCTTTTTATTGAAGATTTTGTGCACAAGTATCTTTATCCACCGTGATATATGTATTGCATAGTCGATTTTTTATTTTGTCTACTTCTATTAATTTTGTGTGTTCTTTGGATGTTTGTTTATTTGTTCGTAAGTTACATATGTGAATAAAGTACTTATTTAAGACCTGAGATTTTTCAAATGGAGTAGTTACTAGGCATGTACCAATACCAATACTATTGGGTATTGGTATTGAAGGTATTGATTGGTATTGGTGTATTGGTGGTATTGGTATTGATCGATATTAAGGTATTGATAGGCCTTGGTCTTGAAGGTATTGGTATTGAAGTATTGCTCTAAGCATTTTTTCTCTCCTTACTTTTATATATTTCTTATGATGAATATCAGATAGATTATAAAGCGCGGCTTAAGAACACATTCTTGTTGGTAGTACACAAACTGAACATCAATCATTTGTTGAAGTACTTTCTTTAGTTTAGTGGTAACTTAAGCGCATTAGCGGTAATTACAACATCACTGTAATATCTTGCACACTCATAGCACCACAACGCTTTCTAGCTAAAATGCATAGAAAATTTTCTTGACAATGGACCGTTGAGAAAATTTAATAAAATATCTAAAGTCCAACCAGTCTAAAACAATATCTCTGAGTGCAACATCTCTTAAGGCCTTTGTGATACTATTACATCCGTCAAAGTTTGCAGCTAATATTAGTTCTTATGCCTAAGCTTACGTATCATGATCGATATATTTTTCTATCACTGCTTAAACAATCCATCAAGCACTCATCATAATGAAATACATCGAAAAAAGTGAGAAAACCGCTCTCCATATCAATACTTCAATACCAAGACTGACAATACCAATACCGCCGACACTCCAATACCATCAATACAAATCTCTAACAATACTTCAATACCAAAAGCAATACCAAGACCCTCAATACCAGTACTGTCAGCACCACCGATACCAGCTCAAAACCAATACTCAATACTAAGTATTGGTATTGGTACATGCCTAGTAGTTACCAAATTATTCATTGCTACATCAAAATGAGGTGGAATAGTTAGAGGACTCTCTTTATTTACTGTATGCTTTAAAAAAGTCCACCACTTATTAGATGATGTATTCAATTCAGTTGACTGTTCCTCATAATATTGTTTTTTAGCTGTATTACAGAGTTTCTCGAATTCCCAAGCAAACTCTTCATACTGTTTTCTATATTTATCATTTTTCTTTGCTTTCTGATACTTCTTATGGCGTATTTTAAGTAGATACTTTAGATCATTGTTAAACCATGGTGAATCACGTGAAGAAACTGAAATCCTTTTATGAGGAATACATTCTTCTACAACTCTTAAAATAAAGTTAGTCCATGCTTTAACTTTATCTGATAAATCTAACTTCTCATTAAAAATGTTCGTCCAGTCAGCAAGTGATAGTTTATGTCGGAAAACCTCCCAATCAGTATTTTTATAATCATAAATTTGTCGTTTGTATCTAAACGTAGAGTATTTAGTATCACTTAATTCAAAAAGTATCATATTGTGATCATATAGCATAGAAAGTTTTGGCAGAACTGTAATATTTTTAATGGTTGTAGAGTTATTAGTTAAGATTAAATCTAAACATGTGTTCGACTTTGGCCTTGTAACTTCTGACACTAATTGAGCTAAAGCTTCACACTCACAAAAGTCATAAAGCCTTTCTTCTGCAAAAGTAGATTTTGCAGACGAATTACACCAACGATTTGAATGACAATTAAAGTCACCTGTTAGAATCATTGAACTGAATAAATTAGCAAAACTAGTGCGAATAATATGAAGAGAACTGCTTAAATGGTTGAGAGATGGATCAAAATTACACCGCTGAGGTCTATAGCTTAAGTTAAATAGAACACATTTTGACGGAGAAAGTTTCAAACTAAAAAAACACGTTTCAAAATCCTTATCTAAAAGTAGAAATATTTTACCCACTACACCTTCTCTAGTAAAAACCAATATACCCCCACCTATCTGTCCTTCTCTATTTTTACGAATAAAGATCTCATAGCCATCGAGAACTAACTGGCTAATATCATTTTCTGAACTTAACCAAGTTTCAACGATTCTAACGACCAACGGCTTCCTTCGTATAACTTCCATTTTTAGTAATTCAATCTTATTCATAGGCTCATCTATATTTGATAGAATATTGCTTGCATTAAGAAACAAGACCTTCTCACCAGTATCCGCACTGATAGCTGCTTTTTTATCCATAAGTATACGCATAACTAGGGGTGGCACTTTCCCGTTCCTTTCCTGAGTAACGATAAAGTGGTATCTTTTATTTCAAAAGTAAAGAGTAAAGATATAATGTATATCTTTTACTTTCCTAAGAAAAAGGAAAGCGGCACCTTTTCCAGAAGAAAGAAAAGCAATATCTTTTCTTTTTGCCAGAAAAAGACTTTCTTAAAAGATGCAAAAAAAAGTCTTTTTCTTGCAAAAAGAAAAGGTATTGCTTTTCTTTCTTTCGGAAAAGAAAAGGTGCCATTTTCCTTTTCCTTAGAAAAGAAAAGATATGCATTATATCTTTACTCTT